GGCAGCTCATTTTTACAAAAAGGGCATATAGGGTGCATTTCTTGGGATCAAAGGGCATACAGAGCAGGCCGATTAAAAATAAAAAAAGAAAATAAAACACCTACAGAGAACTCTGATGTTACTATATGCACGCCTTTTTACCCGATGGTCGAAATTTAAATAAATTTTTTAGTGCAGATTTATTTTTCCTATAGCCTATTAAATGCATATACCAAGTTTTATCATTATTGTCACCTGTCAAACAGAACGAACACTCTCTATGTTGGTCTAAGCCGGATAACCATATTGCAATCACCCTATATATAAAAAACAGCTCATATTAATGTCAAAACACTCAAACTTTATTTAAATTTTTTAAGAGATGCACACAGTAATGTACTCTCAGATGAATACAATCTTCAACTTGAGCAAAGAGAAATATTTCATTACCTTACCTAACACAAAATTTTATAGTTTCCTCAATTAAAATGACGCTTACTAGAATTAATCATAGTCTCTTAACTCAGGGTGCTTTATGAGTTGATTTGTCCAAAATTTAGGATTCAATGTTATGCCAACTGCATTGAATCACCTCCTACACATGAATTTTTCTAGTAATATTTGTATGTCTGATGTATTAGTTGAAATCATTTACCTAAAATTAAGTGCATTTTGCATAATATAATGCAGTCATAAAACTTATCTCCAAAGTTCAATCTTAATTTTCAGATAACATGGTAAAAAGATACATTAATAGAACAATATTTGAAACAAAAATAAATGATAACAGCTTTGCAAGCAACAGCTACAAGAACATTGCATTGAAGTACCACAATTTATATGCAGTTGATGCAAAATTGAATAAAAAAAACTAGGAGTGGAAATTATTTAGCAGTATTCTATACCAGTGTTTCCCAAACTTATAACTTTTGTGTACCGTTTCTAAATTTTTCGTAACGCTGTGTACCACTAATAAAAAAATGAATGCATTTTTTAAAAAATATGTTAATTTTTAATAACATATTTTAGTTATTAACTGTTAACTCTGTAAAAAATAGTCAATGGAAAAACACGTAATCGTAAATTTTTATGGCTGGCTTTGTTTTTAAATAAAAATTTTCGTTTGTTGCAAGATATTTTGCACAAGGCGTACCCCTGCTAAACTGCTCACGTACCCCTGGGGGTAAGCGTACCACACTTGTGGAAGCACTGTTCTGTACCAATAACTTTTTCACTATAAGAAAAATGTGACGATTTTGATGCATTTTTCTAAATATAATTGATAAAAATTATGCTAAGACATTGAGCATTTTTGAAAGCATTTTTATTTACCAGACAATGAGCACAGTTCAAAATGTGTTTAACATATAATTAAAAAAAAGAAAGGTAAATAACTTTAATTCTTTTTAAACACCTTTTTCCATATATTTATATAGTTTGTTTTTAAAATTCACAAATAATCTTAACACTAAATATAACTGTGATATTTGTTAATGCAATAAATTAAATACCATCGTATAACTAGTAAGAAATCACAAATTCATGACAATAATAATAAATTTTTTCATGAGTATCATAATATATTTCTGCATTAACATTATATATTACATATCAATGATAAACATTCAAATTCAATAACATGAGTTAAATCAATATCACCCAAAGAATTTTTTAAAGCTAATATTGAAACAAATTAGTTTTTTTTTAACACTAATTTACACTCCAACAACTAGGAGAATTTTCCTTTTAAAATAATATATATATTACATATAATTAAATAATTTAGTTTAGATTTAATAAAAGCAATAAATATAAAAAAAATGCCTAACTTTTTATTAAAAGGGCTGATTGTAATCTGAAAAATAATTTGAAAAATACATCCTAATTTGTGAAATTTTTTTTAAAATTTAGTTATAACCAATGGATGTTGAAAATAGGCATTAATATTTTAATTCTCAAACAGCAAAAACATAAATAAATAAATAAAATAAAAATAAAGAAGAAAAAATATTATATAAACTGTTTTGTATCTTTATAAAATATACATGAAAATATTCTGTCCACATACAAAGTATAAAAAACAGATATAAATAATTAGCATTTAGAAAATATTTTGGGTTTTTAGATTTAGGCAAGAAAAATAAACACATTAATAAACATACTGGAGAAAAAAAATATTATTCCATAATCACAAATTCAATGTGGATGATAAAATAATAATTTTTTAAGATGAAAATTGAAAAGAGGAACCTGATGACGTCTTTTTTTTTCATTCACAAATCACATTAACTCAACTGTAACACTAAAAAATGTAAATACCAATTAATAAAATAAATACTTCACAACCAGAAGACAAGATAATTGCATCAGCAAAAAAAAACTATCATTACAGTTTAACACATAAAATACACTTTAATACACAGTCATTTTAAGAAAAATATTTTGGTTGTTACATTAAGAAAATGTTCGCTTACTGTACTTAAAAAAAATTAAAACTTTCTATCAATGTAACTTTTCATGCAACATCTAGAAAATATTCAACTGAAAAAACTGAATTTTAGGAAAAATTGCATGCAAAGTTTGAATTAATGTAGTTCAAATTTTTTTTAGAAATTTGGTACAGCATTTTAAATTATGTTCTTAAAGTTACTTTAAGTGATCCAAGTAAAAATAATAAAAGTTATTATTTTAACTTAGAACATCTTGTGGTCATATAGGCTACAGGGTGTTCTAAGCTTCTTAACTTTTTTTTTTACTTACTTCAGCTTATTATTGTTAGAAGGTTAAATTTTTGCTGCATTCAGAAATGCTAAAAATGGAGAAGAAATGACGATGATTCACATGATAGCAAATTATTTAGATTGTTTACAAAATGATAGAAAACATATTATTGGTTATTATATTTTTTTTTCCATATTATTATTTGAGAAGACTGTTGATGGAAATACAGCAGAATGAAAATTAAAATAGACATATGAAAAATCTTATGCAGTATAAATACTGCTTAATAAAATTTCATACAAACATAATTTTGAGGAGACAATATATATTTACTGCAGCATTCATTTTATGCGAGAAATAAACTACAAATAATTGAGAATGTGCTAAACTTTCTCTAATAATTAACATAACAATATTTTTACTCAACTATTTGAAAATTATTCATATTGTTACTTATGATATAAGTAAAATTCATTTTTTTAAATCAAAATATAGATTGAAAGCACACCTCCATATCAACATTAAAAAGCAAACTCCTCCACCTATTTCCAATAAAATTATGACGTATATATACAACTAAATATGAACAACCTTGCACTAAATAAACTTTATAGGACAGGTCTAAAATGAAACTATTATGCTAAGGATGTCTTATAGTCAGATTTTACTTCTCCATCACCCATGTTAACCTATGGAGAATTATGTAGACACAAATTTCTTATTCATTAAATCACTAATTAATATTTTGGAATACTTTTTGTTTCATTTTATTTATTAAAATGCATTTAATGAAACTTGATAACAAAATTTAAATTTTTAAGGATTTAACTACATTTAAAAAATTTTTAAACCTAGATAGATTTTGACCAAGTTCTAAAATAATTTAAAACCTTTAAGAATTAAAATTTGTTTAAATTCCATAAAATACATTTTAAACGAGCAAATAAAACAAAAAATGTTCCAATATATAGATATGTGACTTAATAAACAAAAGAAAACAGTATTTATGTAATTCTTCACAAGCAAATATTGGAGATAGAAGAAAAAGTTTAGTCTGGATGAGAGTCACCCCAGGTTACAGAATAATAATAGTTATTATTCTGTAACTGTTACAGAATTAATAACAGAACAATAATAAAAACAAGATTTTTCAAATTCAAGAATGACAAGTTTTAGAAATAAAATAAAATACTTATTAAAACATGAATGACTTTACTCCACCTTTAAGGTAGTATAAATTCATTTAAAACTTCTCTAAAAATATAAATATGCATATAAGTACAAGTATGAAGATTGGCAGTGGAATAACACTCATTTCAATACCTCATCTACTCTTGGCTAAAAAAATATGGCAGCTTATAATGTTGCACTGCTGCATCACAGTACGGTTATATTTTCCTTCAATACACTAAATCTAAACTCACTTTATCCACAGATATTAAAACAATTTTAATTTAATCTTCAAAATTTAAGTTAAAGAGTCTTTACTATCAAATAAGAAAAACATTTAATGGGAGATGAAAATTAATTATTATTTAGCAGAACAAAGAACACTGAATGGATGTGCTTTGAGCTACTTTTTTTTAATCAATATTAAATTAAAATGTTTTTAATTTGTGAAATAAAAAAATTTGTTCCTGGTCTTTTGAGAAATAAAAATTTTGTTCAGACTAATAATCCAAGGTGACTAGAAGAATTAGATATTAAAAACTGTCCAATGCTTCATGAAAAAAAAATTTTTTTCTCTAAAAAACTGACATAATATTTGTTTCTTAATTAGAAAATCTGCAAAAAACATGAGTTAAAAGTAAATACAAGATGATGAAAAATGAAAGTTTAACAAGCAAAGCACTTTTCCAAGTAAAACAAGTTAACCTTCTTAAGTAAATAATTAATGTTATTGTGAAGCAAAACATATTTTGAAAAAAGTATTTCATGAAATTAATATAAAGTTGCACTGAAATTAATTTCAATGAAACATTAAAACAAAAATTTTACTTAGTTATAAAATAATATCCATTATAAATGCAAAATTTTAAGTAATTTTAGAAATTTAACATCCGTATCTAAAGGGAATCTATTGGTTTGTTTTTACAATACAAACCTATTTCTTATTAATAATTCAAAATTTGAGAAAAAATAATTTTTTTCTATTATACAATAAAATTAGAGATTATGAAATATTTCAGATTTCTTAAATACATCATAAAAATAATAATCCGAACTGGCAAACAAAGAAAATATTGAAAAATAAATTCTGTATAATCATAATTTCAAAAATTTTCATCACATATAATACTAAGAGTAACAAAATTTCAATATTTATTTTTACAAATTCTTGAAGAATAAATTATAGAGTCCCCAAATCTAGATGATTTAAACAACAATCAAGTCATAAGTATAATCTATCGTTAAAATTTTTAATCTGTACACAGAACGAGTAAAATGATTTATTTACAAGTAGATGAATAAGTTTCCAAACAACAACCCATTAGATGGGAGAAACATTCAGAAGGCCTTTTACTTTTAGGCACTGAAATTTCACTTTTTCAATGTCACTCAGTTGGGTATTTAACATGAAGCTTAACAAGCAACTGCTTGACAGCTTATCATGATAAAGGTTTCAAATGACCTTTCTTAATTCAATTAACCAAAATAATTCATAAAAAAACTAAACACATTTATAATTTTTAATATTCATGTTAAGTTAAACAGGACCACAATTTTTGTTCCATAAAAAAATAATATTAATAAAAAACATATTTGAGACATGACAAAGAAAAATCATACATCAATATTCCCTTGAGTTCCAAAATCGGCAGACAAAAACATATACAAGATGAATATAGATAATTAAGGAATTCGGAAAATATTATTCACTCAGAAATTTTTTTTTATTACAAAATATTATTGTTACTGGTATAAAAGTCAAAAGTGGTAGCACTGTGCCATCACAAACATACTTAAGGTACTGAAATCAAACAGTGTTACACACTGAGTCTAAGACTAAAACAAAGTGAATAAACAAACAAGTAAAAGGTATGGTTCAGGACCATACGTAACCTGCAATTATCTGAAGAAGGCAAACTAAGTCTAAGGCCAAAACAAAAGGAATAAATAAACAAGTTAAAGGTGGCTCAGGAGCATGTAACCTGTGTTTACCTGAAGAAGGCAAACCACCAGAAAGAACCATTACAAATTAGTAGATTATTATCAACCTCATTGTAGTGGATTACATACAACTGGAATAAATTATTTCGAATGGTTGGAAAGATTTGAAATAAAAAAAAGCCTTATTCCCTGCATTTTAATCCTCTGAGCATGAAACAACTGGTAAAGTTTGTATGGAAATTTTTTCTGCCTCAATTGAAATTCATAAAGATGTTAAGGATCTAGTTGGTATACAAGAAAGTAGCAAATTAAAAGATGAAAATTTTCAGTTAATAAACTTCTTTTATGCATAAAAAGAATTTTTCTGCTATCTAATACTTCCCCAATGAATAACATAGCCATAAATCAGCTGGCTATACCAAAAAGGCTAGATCGAATGAATAACATTCAATTTTGTGCATAAAAAAGGATATGAGCAAAATCCAAATTATGAATAAGTATCAAAAGAAACTTACAGCATTATTTTTTGAAACGAACTTACATAAACATAATCATTGATCTTTAAAACATTAGTCAATTTAGAAATGAAAAATTAAAAGTGACAATATGAAAATCACCTTCAATTTAATAAATAATTGAATAGAAATTCTCTTAGTATAAATAGAAATCAATTTCTTTTTTACAAATAAAAACACAATAAGAATGATGCAGGCAAATGAAACAAAATTCACCGGTATCGTAGCAAGTAAATAAAGATTAAGAAAGACATTCTATAAATATATGATCAACGTGATCAGATTTTACGTCATGCAAAACTAAATATCATAATTCCTTTTGAATGAGACAAACAATACATTTTATAATAAAAAATTAATGAGTTTCCTTCAATTAAATATCTCACCAACAAAATAAAATATAAATTTAATAATAGCTTTAAATGCATTTATATTTCCAACAATTAATATGTTAAAATCTTAAGAAGTGTCATTGATAATTAAATAGCTTTAAATCCAATTTTGGATTTTTTAGAACATAGAAAACTATTAACAGTAACATACTTCTGAATATTCTAAATATCAGAAGGGCACATTTCTCCTTTGATAATTTTAATCTGGGATAGCAGCTTTAAAGCTGGACCAAGTTTCATACTCATAGAAACCATCAAATGGTCCTCTTTAAGTAACAGCAAAGCTTGACCATCAATTTCTTGTGAACGGAAGACTTCAGCATAATCTGAGCAGCCAGGGGTGTCCTTGATAAATTCATATACATCTTGAACCTATACAAAATTCAAAGTGACAACATTATTCATAAAAATGCTCAACAAATACATTTCACAGTCTAGGCAAAAATAAATAAAATTAAATTTTAATTAAAATTGTAGTTTAGCTAATTTTTCTTCAAAATATTGCAAAGGAAAAATACTACAGTTTTTGATAAGAATAAAATTTTTACAATTTTTGAAGAGATGTGGTGTGGGCACACCAATTTATTATTAACGTTTTGTTTATCATTTTAGCTCTGTGGAGTTGATATAACTATAAATGGAACTCCATTAGAAGAACGTGGAATAACCTGCTTTCCTTACTCATTCCTATGAACTTCTGCCTTTATGGCAATTTTAAACTTGTGGCAGGTCATGAATTTTTATATAGTCATCTACATTTTATTACTGTAATTAACACTGACATGTTTTGAAACTTTTGGGCAAAGTTATAAATTTTTCTCACATCTGATTAACTGTAATGTTCTTTCTTTAATGACTATATGCTTTCATTATTGACTGTATGCTCTATCTTTAATGGATATAGTCATATTCCTGACAACTTTAGTACTAAAGTTGCTATTGACTAAGGGAAGAACAAAAAAGCTTTTAGTTGGCCTAAATTGCCAAGTTCAGCAGTTAAAATAATTACCTTTTCCAGATTTTAAAATACTGATGATATGGAATGGAGTCAAATCATAAGATTCTACAGACAAAGCAAAAATCGATGCATATGCTCCAGAATTAAAATTTACAATGAGAATTAAACCAAATCAATAATGATAAAAAGTTAGTAAAATTATTCATAAATAATACGAACAATCTACACAAAACTAAAACTAAACAAACATGAGAAAAATATACTTATACACACAAATTGTAAAAAATATAGCAGCAATTTGAATCAAAGCTTCCCATTTCATTAAGGTTAAAAAAATATCAATTTTAAATTAGTGCAATAAAACCATTGTTAAGTTTAGTTTCTAATTGATACATGAAAGGAACTTCTAAGCATGGCTAGCAATTAAAATACTCTTTACAGAATTTAAAAAGTCAACATTTCCGAGAAAGATGAAAGAAATTACTTCTACATTGCTAGGTTAAACAAAGAAGAATCTAAAAGACTCTGGAATTTTCCCCATGGTTGCTTATCAATAGGCTTATGAAAAATATCTTCCATGAAACTGTTTCTTTGTAATATTTTGATTTGGATAAAGCTCTTTTAACTTTAATTATTCTTTTCAAAAGTCAAACAAATACTAAAAACAGACGCATGATTTATCTTCTTCTTTCTTTTAACTAATTGAAAGACTAATAAAAAAAAGTGCATGCATTAAGATAAATAAAATAAAAAACCGAGATAATAAGTGACAAGCTTAAACATTTTACATACACTCCACTTGGAAGGTGGTTTCTGAGAAGGAGAAATAACACTCATTTCCTGAATTTCTGAACTTTCTTCTGTTCTATTTGAAAGAGATGATTCATCATCAGGAATACTAACATTATTTTCTTGTTCTTGTACGGTAGACAACTCATTCTCTTCAATTTGGGGCTGGAATAAAATATTTTGTAAAAATGAGGATGAATGAATAGTTTTAAAACCTATAGATTAGGGTGCTTATTGCAATGTACTAGGAAGGTACTAAGTAGCTTACATCAAAAATTGAGAGATAGGGGTCATAGGTTTAATACTAATGATGCAGTATTTTTGAGTAGTAAAATGCACATTACATGTGCCATGGATGAAGGTCCATTCATTAGTGTCATATGGAAATCGAAAGAGAATGGGACGAGCTCAGATGCCAACTGCATTATTTGGTGATGATCAAAATTATGTAGTGTGACATAGTAGTTATCATAATAGAAAAAATAATAAATTTAAGATAAAAATATTAAATTTATTATTTTTTCTATTATGATAACCACTATGTCACACTACATAACTTTAATTACTCAATTTTTTTATGATTAAAAAACTATAAAAAAAAGATGTGCTATTTTCTAAACAGTATAATATACAAAAAAAAAAAAATCTGTTAAAATAACAGGCACTCACAATTGGAGTTTAAATTTATATTTTGAGCTGTGCAGTACTGGTACTAAAATCAAAAACTATATATTAGTCTCCTTTTCTTTTTTAACACAGATTCTGAAAAAAGTTTGGATTTGAATGAGAATTAGCAGAGAATGAGTAAAATATTAATTTGAAGTATTATTTGTTTTTGATTTTTTTCGCCACATCTACTGAAACAGGACTAACAAAATATTTCTTCTCTTTATGATTTATGTTTACTTTATGACAAATATTACTCAAACTTTTAGAAAGTTTTCAAACAAACTGTACACAATTGTTTAAATTACTTAGTTAAAACTTACTAATTTGCGGAATCCCTTTCTACCTCTGCCCATCTTTTTTCTTCGACCAGGACCTAATATATGACAAAAATAAGGATTTACACACAAAACACACTAACAATAAGGGAAATAAGTAATAAGTGCAAAAAATTATTACAATTTTATATTTTTAAAGCCACTATTAATAAAATTAATGCAAAAACGTTATAAAGAATTATAAATTAAATTTTTTTAAAACTAATATTTAAAAAACAAAACAAAGTGATATTTATCTATGTCAACATGTATATTTGATAAACTAATGCAACTTTATCATAAACTTTTGAATCATATCACAATTTTATCAAATGATTATGTTTTCTTAATAATAAGTAGTAAGTTTTGTGCAATAATTCAATCCTAAAAATAAGAAATGAAGAGAGTTTGTCAAAGCTTATTAATTAGTAACACAAATAAATGAATTAAAAAGGTCTTTAATTTACCGAGAAACTTATATTGAATGATTTTTTTATCACGTTATAATAATTTATTAGACTATCATTATACTTTTAATTATATCAAAACATTATCTTCGTTTGATAATGAGAGATTCTTTTCTCTGAAAATTCTAGAAAATACTTATAATTTATCCAAACAAAATGTCAGCTTATAGACAAATATAGGGAATTCTATGAGTAAAATGTTCTACTTTATCTGCAACCTTATCATCATAATTAAAAGGACACTATAGTTCAACATGTTTGGAACAGTATTTATTATATCTTATACTACACTAAAAGATTCCTTTGTGGATAGGACTGAACAATTTGTGACCAATGAAACGTTGGTAGCAAGGTGATCAGCATAGTGCACTGAAAACCGAAGCACCACTGGAAACCGAACCTATGTGCTTCACAATGACAATGCATTAAACACTGAGTTACCATTGGTCTTATAGAACATGAAATAAAATAAACTTGGATTTACTTATTTTTGGCCAGAATTTACCACAAAATTTATATTATGCAAACTTTACATTACCTCGGCCTCTGTGAATTTTTATCTTCTTTTCTGGGCTTGAAGCTGCAAAAAAATAAAGAACTAATTTTAAAGAGAAAACATAGTTTCAGCTGAAGAATTCAGTCAATTGAAAAAAATAAACTAGAATATGTGAATGTAATATGCATAACTAATTATTACAATATCTATCTATATAATATCTATAT